TCCAGATACTCTACTTCATGTATATAGTCGCTCTCTGCAACTCTCTCAATAGAACAACCTTCTCTCTCATCTCTCCTCTGATCCAACAATACTATCTCTTGCAGCCGAACTCGCTCAGCCACTGGAATCCATCATCTTTTCTCTGGATACCACCACAGAAGACCTTCATTATAAGGTCCATGGAAACTTCGAAGCAATACTGCGCCAAGCAAATGAGAGACAAGCTCTAATTTTAGTACGCTGGAAAGATCAACGTTTAAGTTTAGATCACATGCGAGCTCTAGGGGGAATTTCCCTTGTTTATTCATTTCTGTGGTCTCGTCTATATTCATCCACGCGGTTTCTCGCGTATACATGGTTCCAAAACACAGTAGTGTTGTTCAGACAGCCAACTATGTCCGTTGTATCGTTTACTTTGTTTCTCATTCTTTCTACACTATACTACGCTTGACTTGGTAGCATATGATGGGCCTCCATAGCGCCATCACGAATCTGATTCGATTTTCGTACACCCTGACGTCTTTTCCACATGATGTAAATAATCAAAATTACACAAGCTAAAAGTATAGCTATAACTACACCAATAATAATTGCAGGGTTGTATCTTGGGCTCGAGTTTCTACTAGGTGTAGTTCCGGTCTTGGCTTGGGGAGTCATCTTGCTACCAATCCTTGACCGCTAGGTGGTGTTAGCGCGATCTCCGCATTACGTCATTTCTACTCACCATGTGTCCTTAGTATTCTTAAATAAGCTGAGATGGCCCCCCTATGGATCGTTTCTGTTTCGTGTGATTGTACTGAGGGAACTAGATATTTTCACTAGCTGGGCAAATACGGCTTCTTACTGCTTCTTTATAGTTGCTCGTCAATGCTATTTTAAACTATTGTGTCCTTTTCACGTTAACGGGATTCTGGATACGGTGCTTCTGGATACAGTGTTCTGACCTACCTTGGATACCGGTAACTGCTTTCCCGCCTCTAAGTTATCAAGACATTCCTTTAGGGGGTTTGGCCACATGGACCGTTCGTGACTGGCGTGCTACAGTAGACATGCTCAACTTTCATAATCGTCCACAGATAGTTGTGGCTGCACTACAAAGATTTGCACCGGTGCCTACCTAATGTCAACCTAAGCGTGCCGGGACGCACGGTGTAACGGGACACAGTTTCATCCAGACCCTCGGATTGTCTCTAGTGTTCTTGAATACAAACAAGTACGATGCGCATATATTCTACAGCTCTCCTTCTCCTAGCACATTAGCCTCCGACGCCAAAATGCGCGTCGTTAGTCACGCTGTCGCCCGTTCTGTTAATGCTGTTGATTGACTCTCCTTCAACGCCCCTTATTCATTCGCTACAGTACATGTCTTCGAAAGACTCGGTGGGCTAGAAAGAAAGCTAAGATAGCAAAGATTAAGACTACAGGTTCAAAAAGTCAATTCAAAGCGGAGCAAACGCATCCCAGCAGTTTCTCCGCACAAACAGCAAGATCGAAACGTTTCTACACACGCCCTGTGGCAAAGAACTACAGCTTTGAGCACTCCGCCCTAGGCAGCTCTTATTTCCGACTTTGTAGGGCGCTGTAGATCTAGTCGTGCACGTACGCGTCGCAGATAGCCACGCTTCATACCCACGCCTAGCATAGATCCATTGTCGCTTTGTGTGGATTCGCTCTAGTAATTAAATTTAAGGTTCTTCGCGAAATATCCTCGTTATTGAGAAGCTGGCACTATTAGTAGTAGTATGACTACCTAATAGAGCGCTCTCTAAGGCACAACGGTAGTGGTGGTACAGATTCGTATTGTATTGACTGAGGAGCTATTCACACGTTCGTAGATCCGTGTTGCGTGCAGCTCCGTCCAAGCTCCCCGCTAGGACCCACCTGCACGTGTCACCAATCATGTGACTACTCCTCCGCTTGATACCACCAAGTCACTTACGGACTGTATTCTCAACACTCGTGATAGTTATACGCTATTGCTACATAGCTAAATATGTTTAGAAGTCACACTTCCCTAATAAGATCTAACATGGTTGGCAAGCGAGTTAAAGCATCTAGCTCTAAGATCTACATTACATTGAGTTGTAACGTCACGGATTCCCGTCACTATACTCCGCTCGCCAGCCATTTAGCGTGTCAAACGACGACTGTGTGTAGGGATGTTGCTCGCCAAGGACCTGCTGGCGCGATTGGAAGCATTTTTCCATTAGTGCAAGAGCCTCCACGTGACGAGCTTGTGACTGTAGCGTGAAAGCGAGATTGTGCATGCTGGTCAGCGTGTCGGGATGGTCCGCTCCTAGCTTCGTCTTGCGAGTCTCCATCACTTGCACAAACAGCTTCTCTGCGTCGTCCCATCGGCTTTGGTTCCAGTATGTCGATGCTAGGTTGGCCATGCATTTCAGCGTTTCGGGATGGTCCACTCCCAGCTTCGTCTTGCTCGTCTCTATCACTTGCACCTCCAGCTTCTCAGCGTCGTCCCATCGGCCTTGATTCCTGTATGTCGATGCTAGGTTGGCCATGCTGGTCAGTGTAGAGGGATGGTCCGCTCCCAGCTTCGTCTTGCTCGTCTCCATCACTTGCACAAACAGCTTCTCAGCGTCATCCCATCGGCCTTGGTTCCAGTATGTCGACGCTAGGTTGGCCATGCCGGTCAGCGTGTCGGGATGGTCCGCTCCCAGCTTCGTCTTGCGAGTCTCCATCACTTGCACAAACAGCTTCTCAGCGTCGTCCCATCGGCCTTGATTCATGTATGTCGATGCTAGGTTGGCCATGCCGGTCAGCGTGTCGGGATGGTCCGCTCCCAGCTTCGTCTTGCGGGTCTCCATCACTTGCACCTCCAGCTTCTCAGCGTCATCCCATCGGCCTTGATTCATGTATGTCGATGCTAGGTTGGCCATGCTGGTCAGCGTAGAGGGATGGTCCGCTCCCAACTTCGTCTTGCGAGTCTCTATCACTTGCACCTCCAGCTTCTCAGCGTCGTCCCATCGGCCTTGATTCCAGTATGTCGACGCTAGGTTGGCCATGCTGGTCAGCGTAGAGGGATGGTCCGCTCCCAGCTTCGTCTTGCGAGTCTCTATCACTTGCACCTCCAGCTTCTCAGCGTCATCCCACCGGCCTTGGTTCCAGTATGTCGATGCTAGGTTGGCCATGCTGGTCAGCGTGTCGGGATGGTCCGCTCCCAGCTTCGTCTTGCGAGTCTCTATCACTTGCACATCCAGCTTCTCAGCGTCATCCCACCGGCCTTGGTTCCTGTATGTCGACGCTAGGTTGGCCATGCCGGTCAGCGTAGAGGGATGGTCCGCTCCCAGCTTCGTCTTGCGAGTCTCCATCACTTGCACCTCCAGCTTCTCAGCGTCATCCCATCGGCCTTGGTCACTGTATGTCGATGCTAGGTTGGCCATGCTGGTCAGCGTGTCGGGATGGTCCGCTCCCAGCTTCGTCTTGCTCGTCTCTATCACTTGCACAAACAGCTTCTCAGCGTCATCCCATCGGCCTTGGTTCCAGTATGTCGACGCTAGGTTGGCCATGCTGTTCAGCGTAGAGGGATGGTCCGCTCCCAGCTTCGTCTTGCTCGTCTCTATCACTTGCACCTCCAGCTTCTCAGCGTCGTCCCATCGGCCTTGATTCATGTATGTCGATGCTAGGTTGGCCATGCCGGTCAGTGTAGAGGGATGGTCCGCTCCTAGCTTCGTCTTGCTCGTCTCTATCACTTGCACCTCCAGCTTCTCAGCGTCATCCCATCGGCCTTGGTTCCAGTATGTCGACGCTAGGTTGGCCATGCTGTTCAGCGTAGAGGGATGGTCCGCTCCCAGCTTCGTCTTGCGAGTCTCCATCACTTGCACCTCCAGCTTCTCAGCGTCGTCCCATCGGCCTTGGTTCCAGTATGTCGACGCTAGGTTGGCCATGCTGGTCAGCGTGTCGGGATGGTCCGCTCCCAGCTTCGTCCTACTCGTCTCCATCACTTGCACGAATAGCTCTTCGGCTTCCTCATACCGTCCGTCACTATGTAGAGTCATAGCACATTTCGATGCGAGATGTGATCTTTCATTATCATCTTCGTTCATCTGGCTGTGCGAAAGAGCGTATTGGGCATGTGGGAGGAGTCGTCTCCACTTGCTTCTGTTACTATGATTATCGTCCGGGAACACACGAAGTAGCTGTGTCATAGTGCGCTGGGTCCATTGTCTAAGTCCCTGCGCTTGCAGCTGCTTGCGTAGAGCTCGATGGACTAGTCGATGAACATCGAGTGCAGACTCAGCAGGTCGCCTGGTGACGAGCGCATACTTGTCTAGTACCCTAATAGCGTCTTCTCTTGCTTGCGGCGAGGCTGCCTCTAGAAGATCGAGAGAGATATCTTTTCGTTCTACGCATGCAGCAAGAAACAGATAGTCTGCAGCAAGCGCATTATCATGCCTGATCTCATATATAGAGAGAGACAGCGTAGCAGCTACAGGGTCTTTCACGCCAACACCTTGTAGCTTACCCTCAGACAGGTCGCCGCTGTGTTCGATAGCAAGTTCTTTATGATCGTCCATTCGTGATCGATACTCCTGCACCGTCATACCGCTAGCCTTTATACAGGCCGCTGCTTGCATGACTGCTAGAGGAAGATACGATAGCGCTCTTAGCAAGTGCTCGGCTTCCTGCTGCTCAGTGTTCGCGAGCGGCCTCGCTAAGCGGACTTGCAGCATCTTCAGCGCCGCATCTAGTGTCAGCTCTCGCAGCGATATGATGTTCTGTGGAGCGAGCGCTTGAGCTGTGTCGGTGTTGGTTGTTGTGAAAATGACAGAACATAGCTTAGACTGCGGCAGACAATTGGCTAAGTCTGCGGCTTCTATCGTGGACGAGCCGCTAGATGGCAGAGTGATGTGCTCTGTGTTGTCGAAGATTAGCAAGCAGTGCCGCGCACTAATTTCTACTATACAGCGTTTTACAAGCTGCTTTATGTCGGCCTGATCATCGTCCCAGCCTGCAATATTGAGCTTCTGCGCAACACTTGCATACGACTGGTAGAGACTGACTTTATCGCTCGCATCCATCCAGAGGACCGAGCAGTTCTTGTTCTTCTGCCTTGTTCTGTGTGCAACCTCGAGCGCGAGCTGCGTCTTGCCAGTTCCGCCCGGCCCAACTATGGCTAGTGTAGTAGTGGTGTGCTCGTTGCTGAAGAGCTTAGCTTCTAGCTCGGCAAGCTGCGACTCTCGGCCTACGAAGCGGGGGTTTTGTGAGAACTGGATGATCGACGGTGCGTTATTAGTTTCCTCTAGTTCAGCTTGCAGTCTGCTTCGTGCACTCTCCTGTCCTTCGCCGTACGCGGTGGGCATAGAGACGCCAAGAATTCCAAGTAGGCAGTACACAATGTCTTCTTCTTCTTCTGTTCTGCGGTTTTCGACCCATCGTCTTCGCTCAGATGTATTAAACTCGTGCAAAGGACGGTTGCGTAGTGCTGCGAGCGGAATGTTGGTAATGTCATGTATGAGCTGGTCGAGCGATTTTTTGTCGCCTATGCGCCTTCTTTCACGCGAGAAGAACTCGACTGACACTGGCGCAATCAGCTCTTGGAGCGTCCACCCCCGAGTAAACCATGCACTTGCACGGAACGACGCCTCCCAGTCGCTGGGTTGGACTGGCTCTGTAGCAGTCGACACCGAAACGTCTGACAAGAAGACGTAGCACCGTGCCGCGTTCTTGTACCACTGGAACATCGAGTTGATCGCCTTGGAGCGCTCGTTGTTATTCCACATGTCGATACAGCATGTGTCGATCCAGAAGTACTGCAGCCCATCCTGCACGGCTTGATTGGCACAGAACCTAAGCTTTCGATAGCCTTCTTCCTTCTCCTTGTAAGTTCCACTTGATATGTCTTCGATAAGGGCCTCCGAGTCGCTCCATCTGTGCGACAGAATGGCGTAGCGCGGGGTTGTTTTGCCGCGGAAATCTGTCAAGACAAGCCTTCCTAGCGCGTCATAGTGGAGAAGCCGCATGGCATTTGCAGTTTTAGCTTAGTCTAGGAAAGGCGAGGCGCGAACGACTTTAATGGTGTTGAGAGTAGAAAGGCAAGGGAGCGACAGAGCGAAGTAGGCAGAGGAAGCTTACGCTGGGTTACTGTGAAGGCTGCCTGTCGAGGCAGTACATGCGACCAGGCTGAGCGGATGCTGGGCACATGGAGCATCCTGCGCCGCCTCGCCTCACAACTTGCGCTGGACAGTGTTCGCTACGTGAACGCACGTCAGACTACTGCGCACGTGGGCAGAGTGCCAGCGGATAGAGCAGTCCTAATTAGATTGCCGTTGTAGCATCTCGCGAGACTTATGTTATCGAGGAAGGGTGCGCAGCGATGTAAGTTGTGTAGGCGTAGGGATACTGTCTCGTTGTACACACTTTGCGCACTATTTCGCAGACGTTCGACGAAAAGTCGATTACTCTTTTATAGCGAAAGTAGTGCGTGCCTAAGCTAAGTGCCTTTAATAGCAATTTCTACGACAAATAAGCTGCTTTGCGAGGAAATTAGTGGAAGGAGTATGAAGCGCGGCTGTCTGCAACGCACGCGTGCACGTCTGGATCAACAGATGCCTGCAAAATCGGGAATAAGAGTTGTGTAGGGCGGACACAGATATCTTAGCACGCTACTGCAAGCTGCCGCGTACTAAGAGCTGCTAAAGACGCACAGCCGGCTGGACACGAACAGGCAGCAAGGAAATGTAAAGAACGAGGCAGACACCAAAGAGATGCCGTAGATTAATCTAAAATAGTTCTATAACAACTACATTCTACGTATCTCTAGCAACCAGAACAGTCTTCGTGATTATTGTGGGCGGCCGCCCATACCTATTGAGCTTGTTACGAGACGTTTTTATAGGGGAAGAATTAACCTACTTCTTCATGACTAAAGCAGCTATACGCAAGCGAATGACCTTGCCGCTCAACAAGTATGTAAACCTTGGTTTTAGACGGTAACATCTGGCATTCGAACGCTTGGAGTCCTCCTTCGATATGGGGTTCAGAGTGAATTGCCTGATTATGGACGAAAAGGCCAGTATAGTAGAACTCGTAGATGTTAGATGTTAGACTAACACTTTAAGTATGACTTACGTTTGGAGGTAGGAGATGTAGGTGATGAATCACTTCTGGGAAACCAAAAGGCAACTCAAATGCCTCATCCTCACTACCATGTTCGACTCCATCATGATGGCAACGATGCACGCAGAAGCTAGGTGGTTGGAACTTCTCCGGTAATTGCGCCCAGTCATGAATAGTGACTTCATGATCATGTGGTTCACTACCACTATAGGCGGGAGGGTCCTCAGAGACCACTACTGCGTCGTCATCCTGAATACTCGACAGAAGAAGCATTTCGGGGAAGTTTATAATGACCGAGCATTCGGAAAATACAGTAGAGGGAGATTGTGGTATCGGAACGTACAGGAACGGTTCTGGCTCCTGGTCTAGGGACGTGTCTTGTGGGGATAGTAAATTGAACTCCGCGTTGGTTACACCAGATGCATGAGCGATATGCTCCCCTACTATCAGTACGTTCTTTCTATTTTTTAGCAATGATATAGGTAGTTATTCCACGATGCGCAGCTTACGGGTGGCTCAGCGATACTTGAGTCGTAAATTTGGACTTCTCCCGGCCTCTTGATTTCCATATATACGCTAGAACCAGAAGATTGAGAGTATCGCTTAAGAAGAAGGAAGAGGATATCTTCTTCATCAAGTGGTGAAGCACTCTGTAAGAACTCTTCGTACTCGCGTATAAGCCGTTCAATGTTGTTGAAAGCTTGCTTAAATTGTATATCGACGACACCTGTATAGTCGAAGTTCGCTGTAGGCGAACTAGCTCTGCCACCATGAAATGATTCTTTCATTATATCGAAGTGTGCTCGGTAGTCTTGTGTATTGGGTGCACCATTCGTTAAGAAGGTAGACTGGTATCTAGCGTTTCGAATTTTCCAACGGAGGGCGTCTCGCTCGCTTTCTGTCGTACATGCCTCAGAGGCGTGCTGATAAGAGCTAGTACTCATGATGTACAAGCAAGATGTAGTCTACCTCACTGGGTAAAGCGCCTAAAGTAACAAGTGTTATATAGATATGGAATATCTATGTAGAAAAGTCTGGTGACAACTAAAGGTCTACCTTTGTATTAAAGCGCTTCGGGTCAAGGTACTTGTTCGCGAATAAAATTCTGTTGTGCGCATGAGACCACCTGGTTAGCAAGATACAGATTACTGGCATACTGTTTCCTGTTGATGCTGTGGAGATCTGTATGCACACTGATGGGGCTGTGCTAGTGCCGAACCTTATTATTATTATTATTATTATTCCATTAGAGTCCTTTTTCAGTCAGAGACTATGTAGGACTTTGGCCGAAGGCCGTTCTATCTTGGTTTTTCTAATTTACATGGTTTTCTGGTATGGTTCGCTAATATGGTTTTTGGCTTTTCTACAAAAGATTAGACTCCGCAACAATCAATTCAATCCGGTCACTCTCCTAGACCCACTTACCTATCTAGGTAGGGCTTAAACTCCTATAGGTAACTACTAGGCTTAAAGCGGTAATCAATCAATCCAATCTGAACCTTCTAGGACCCACTTAATTGATTGTTGCGGACTGTGCAAAAGATAGCTTGTATCTGTTTGTTGCCAGGTGCTAAAGAGCAGTTTGATAAGTAGAAAGAGATGTAGCAGCGGGCTCTTGTGGCAAAGGAGAGGGTTGTGGTTTTAGTTTTATACAGTGTCTCTCTGTAGGTCTTCTGTTGGCTGTCCTAGGTACCATTTTCTTGTTCCTATTCTGGTGCTAGTGATAAAAGCTAGGGTTGCTTCTATACCTATACTAGTGTGGAGTAGTAGTGGTAGTGTGACTGGGCGATGTTTGATTGTTTGTAGGAGCGTTTTTCGATGGTCTTTGTATAGATGACAGTACAGTAGTAGGTGTTCTGGCGTTTGGATGTTTTGGCAGGTGCAGCGATTAGAGTCTCGTTTCTTAAATCTCTTTAGGTAGGAGTTGAAGTATCCGTGTCCTAGCTTAAGAGAGTAGAAGGCGCTAGAGGTTACTCTTTTCGTGTTCTGTGGCATTTGGATGGTTTTGCTGATTTTAAGAGGGTATTTGGCTGAGTAGGTAGCTTTGTTTAGAGCGGTTGCTCTTGCTTTGTATTTCTCATACTCTTGGCGTTGTTCCGTTTGTTGTATCCTTTTGATTGTCGTGCCCAGGTAGGCAATGCTCTTTGTTGTTGATCTGGGGTCCTCTTTGGTTGCTTCTTTTGCTAGGTAGTCTGCTCTTTCGTTTCCAACTATATCTGTGTGTCCAGGTGCCCAGAGTAGGTGGATGTTTGCTTGTTTTCGTCGGATCGTATTTGCCGCTTTTAGACATCGGAGTTGCCAATGCTGTCCTGGGTTATCTGATAGGTTTTTAAGCCTGTAGATTGCTGCTTGGTTATCTGCGTAGACCTCAAATTCCTGGTCGGTTGTAGCGTTCTTTGCTGCGTATTCGAATGCTCGTGTGATCCCTTCTAGTTCGCCGTTGTAGACTAGCTGGTATTGTCCGATATTAACTGTTTCTGAGTAGATCTCTTGCTGAGTTGAGTTGTAGACTGCTATCCCAACTCCTATTCCTTTTCCTTCTTGTGTTTGCGAGGCGTCTGAGTATATTGTCGTGTAATTGTCTAGCCTTGTTTTAAGAAAGTGCCGAACCTTAGTCCCGGTGTTAGGTCTCCGCAGACGGAAACCTGACGCTTTGCGCGCGCTTAAATCTGGTGTGATAGGTTACCGCATCTGGAAATTGTGGGCCGAATTTTTTTGAACGCGTTGGCTCTAATTATGTCCGCCAGTCCCTTCGTTCTGGCACTGCGGGATCCTGTAGAGGCGACAAAAGCGGCAGACTCAGTGTTGGATAGCACTTTGGACGTAGCTAGGACAAGAAACATATGGTCTATAATACAGCTTCTTGCAACAGCATGCTATAATTATATAAAGTCCCTCCCTATGTGCTAGGACACCCGCTGTGCTGGGACAAATGAGGGGTACTTCGACTTTTAGTACTTCGCTTTCTTCGCACACCCTAATAATCGCTGTTAGTTTTTGTTAGCAATGTACTAGAGCTGTTTGTGTGTTTATCCTAATACTCCTAACTAAAAATTACGTTGCTATTGCTGCTCTTTGTGCGGATGTTACAAACGACCTTTACTGCGTGAATGACAGCGTTGCTCTACTACACTACTACCGAGAAGCTTGTAGGCCTATTGCACGTACAGGAGGTTAGTGTCTAGCTCTAGGAACCTCCTGTCAGTACGGTAAGCTATGATCAGCCTCGCGCTTGCTGTAATGCCCGAAGCTATGCAGGGTCGCCACGCGGATCGTTACTTCGGCGACTAACAGGCGACCCCGCACGCCTTACGTAATCATCTTCGATGTAATTTACCAACTGTGGCTGATATACATGTTGCTGTGCACAGCCTCGGCTCTTAGGTAGATGCTTAAGATGTTCAAATTCTAACGTTGAAACAGTGATCGAAGCCACTACTGACACCGCTGCGCGAGACTGGATCTGATTATTTTATCTCTATGGCCACTACAAAGCCACTCTAACATCAATACATCCGCGCCACGGGTGCCCTCCATGGCCCTGCAACTTCGCTCATCCTTGCGACTTGAGTGACTGGCTCTGGCACACACAACTCCTGCTTAGCAACCTCACGCTTACGACCGCGCTTCGCTTTGCCTCTCTCCGTGATAGCTTTTTCCTTGGCCGCACGCGTTGCTCGCGCCTCCTCGAGATCCTCGTAGCTCATCACCTTCGCTTTTCCCTTGCCTAGCACAACTGACGGAGTCGCTCGGCGGATCTTGGCTTCGCTGTTGATCTTAGCCAAGAGCCGATTGTGGTCCTGCAGGAGACCTTGTTTGGCGAAGGAGATCTGAGCCGCACTTGCCAGCTTCTGTACACGTCTCTGTAGGCGCTGTTCACTTAGTTCATCGAGCCTGGAAGCATCCTGTTTGATCAGATTATGCAGCGACATCAGACCATCTGCATTCACTGGTGTCGCCGGTGTCACTGGTACTTCGTCTCCAGGGTTGGGCTGCATGATTTCACTAACTGTAGAAATCATAAGACCTACAGGCGGTTTTGGTGTGTCTTGTAGCACTCTCTGTGGGTTGAACGGAAACAAGCCACTTGCGGACCAAGCAGCCGTGATATTCCGCCTCGTGAACGCCTTTGTTCTTGCGGGGTCGTATAGCGAGGTGAAGTCCTCTTTTCCGACCGTGTCTATGCCCCCTCGGTTCAGTCGTTCGACCTGGTCACGATAGGCCGTTTTCAAGGGCGCAAAAACTCCAACGTCGCACGGCTGCAGCTTGTGGGAAGTGTGAGAGGGGAGGCGGCACAGCATGATGCTGTTAGCCAAGCAAAACTCCAGGATCTCTAGTGTTTCATGAGTTCCGAAGCCGTCGCAAATTAGCACTCGTGGTTTCCCACTGGCTAGCTGTTTAGTCTGAGGATCAAAGACACGCGTAAGCCACTCTAAGCAGACCTTAGAGTCGTTGTATCCGTTGTCAGAGAATCCATAGTGCCATCCAGGCGTGGGATACGTAGTCCAGTTGCTTCGGTGGGTCGAGGCTGGCCAGATGATAAGAGGCAGCAGCGCTCTCCCGTCAGCGCTTATGCACTCGACCGCAGTCACCATCGTCCGCTTCATGCCAGCACCTCTATAGTCACGTCTATCATCCTTACCTGCTAGGACCTTAACAGAGCCAAGCTTGCTCAGCATAACGCCCGTCTCGTCCATGTTGTACACGTTCTCCGGCAGTACCGCTGCGTCCTGCAGCACCTTGCCGATCACCTGAAACCACTCTACCATCTTATCGTAGATGTTGTTCTCGTGGCGCTTCCAGTCTATCGACCTAACTCGTCTCGCTTTGAGTTCGGGATGGCGTTTCTCAAAGGCGCGCGCCCAGTTCTTGCCCGGAGGCTTGATCGGCTTATTCGTCGTGGACCGCCGGCGGGCGATGCTGAAGGCTAGCGTAGGTATGTACTTGATCCGAACGGGTTGTCCAAGGCTAGACATTAGCAGCAAGAACGAAACAAGCGCTCTCTCTTCCTCCACGGCAAGGTATTGCTGGCGTTGGGCTTTTACTTCCTTTGACGTTCCTCCGTGCTTACGACGATGGAGGGTGGAGCGAGGAACATTGCACTTCTCTGCAACAGAGCGGTATGTCCCAGGCTGGTCTACAGAGAAGGCTGCCGCCAGTGCCTGACTAGCTCGATCCATGATCGCGAATATGGTGATAGCCTGGCAGAGGGGCAGCAACGGGCAGCCTCTATAGAACGAGAGCGAGCCTGTCGCTCTAATGACAAGCAACAAAGGAACGAGCAGAGCCCGTTCTAAAAATAGCAAGCACACAACACAGCCTGGAATGGTGCCATGATACTGTACCTTGTCTGACGAATAACGAATATGCTTAAACGATCGCACCGCGTTGCACACGATCGGATGGGATAACGTTCGCGTGGTGTTCCGCTCATTTCACAATCACGCACACCACGGATAGACAAGCGGGCTTCGGCGAAACGTACTTCCGAAGCCTTCCTGGCCCCGCGCCGCATGCAATGCAGCAGCGCTTAGCTGTCCCAGCCCTCTCAGCCTTGTGCAGCTGACAATGGATCGCAGCACTACTCTCAGCCTGACAGCCGCCTGGCTGTTCGCCCAGCCCACAACGACGCGAAGCGCGATCGATCAGTCTGCTTCTTCTCTGTCGCAGACCTCGCATCATGGACGGCCTTTCGGGCGCAGCAAGCGTCATCGCGATAGTCGACATATCCGCCAAGATCGCCTCGCTCTGCTACCAGTACTCGGTGGCTGTCATGGGCGCGAGGGATGATATCGAGCGTGTGCGGAGAAAGGTCAGCGACATCACCCACATCCTGGAGAAGATCAAGCAGCTCCTTGACAGCCGGGACAAGACGCGGCTCTCTACCACTCAGGGCCTGTTTAGCTCGCTCGAACAATGCCTCAGGGAGCTGAAGAGCCTCGAAGCAAAGTTAGATACAGGAAAAACTCGCAAGATTATGAGCCGGTTCGGCTTCCGCGCGCTTAAGTGGCCGTTCACGAGTAAGCAGGTGGACAAGATCGTTTTAAACTTGGAAGGATACGAGCAGACGTTCAGCTTGGCACTGCAGGTTGATCAGACGTAAGCTTCTGTACCCAGATCTGTCGTACGCAGATCCAGCCTCTCACTGACTATGCAGAGTCGTTGTGTTCAACATAGACCAGAAGCTGGATCTAGCTAAACTGCCTGTTGCGACAGGCGCCTCCTTCAACTCCCACAACGAAGAGCATAACGCACGATGCCTACCGAACACCCGCACCGAGCTGCTAGACGAGATCACAACATGGGCGAACAACAAGGATGACAAGTACATATTCTGGCTGAGCGGCATGGCGGGCACGGGAAAGTCTACGATAGCGCGGACAGTCGCCCAGTCGTTCGCTAGTCGAGGGCAGCTCGGAGCCAGCTTCTTCTTCAAGAAAGGCGAGGGCGAGCGCGGCAACGCCTCGCGCTTCTTTACCACCATCGCCACTGATCTGGTCGCCTGCGAGCCGGGCATGCTTCCTGGTATCACGAAGACGCTCGACGAGGACTCGACGATCTCACACAAGGCACTAAAAGACCAGTTTGAGAAGCTGATCCTGCAGCCACTCTTAGGGATAAAGCAGGCTCGATCGCAGGCCCTGGCGCGTGTTGTCGTGATCGACGCGCTGGACGAGTGTGAGCGAGAAGCCGACATTCGAGCGATCCTCCAGCTGCTCGCTCAGACGAAAGACGTTCGTCCAGTGCCGCTGCGGATTGTGGTGACAAGCCGGCCAGAGCTCCACATCCGCCTGGGCTTCAGGGAGATGTCAAACGGCACATACCAAGACCTCGTCCTCCACGAAGTGCCAAGGACTACAATTGAACATGACATCCGTCTGTTCCTGGAGCATGAGCTTGGTGTGATACGAAAAGAACGCATGTTAGCCTCCGACTGGCCAGCGCAACAGCAGATCGTCGCGCTAGTTGAGCTGGCTGTGCCGCTGTTCATCTACGCTGCCACTGTGTGTCGGTATGTTGGCAGCAAAGGAAGCAATCCCACAGCGTTTCTGACCAAGGTCCTGCAGTATCAAAAGGCGACTTTTTCGCAGCTAGATCGGACGTACCTCCCTGTGCTCGACCAGCTGCTTAGTGAGCAGGAGGAAGACGAGAAGGAGGCGTGGCTTCAGGCTTTCCGAGAAGTTGTCGGCAGTATTGTTGTGCTTGAAAGCCCGCTCTCTGCTGTCTCACTTGCCCGTTTACTTCAAGTTCCACAAGAGGAGGTTAAGTGTCGACTCGACTCTTTGCACTCTGTTCTTAGCGTTCCTAACAGCGAGAACGGGCCTATTCGACTTTTGCACTTGTCTTTTCGTGAGTTCCTCGTTAACCCTCAAAAACAAGGAAAGAGTCCGTTCTGGGTAGACGACAAAAGTACACACCAGAAGCTCGCCTTTCGCTGCCTTGAGCTTATGTCTGGATCCAGCGGTCTTCATCCGGACATGTGCGGCCTCTCAGGCCCTGGAGTGCTAAGAAGCGAGATCGATGAGCAGACAGTTGCTAGCAGTCTGTCACCTGATCTACAATATGCATGTCGGTACTGGGTCGATCATCTCAAGCAGAGTCAGCAACATATCGTAGACGGAGACACGACGCATGTCTTTCTTCAGAAGCATTTTCTACATTGGCTCGAAGCCATGAGTCTCATAGGAGAGTCGAGCAGATGCGTCGACTTACTCGACAGCCTTCAGGCAATTGCAGATGTAAGTAAGACTTTTATAGAATAACCTAGTGCTCTGCTAACGTGTACCGCAGCTAACTACAAAATTTGTGTTAACCTTTCTTCACGACGCTAAGCGGTTTGTGCTGCGGTTTCAGTTTGTGCTTGCAGATGCTCCATTGCAGATATATTGCTCAGCACTTGTGTTCGCACCCGAGAGGAGCCTGATACGACGGACTTTTGTAGACCAAGTACCACAGCGGGTTAAGATGCTATCTATGAAGGAAGCAGACTGGGACGCCTGTCGTAGCACGCTGGAGGGCCATTCCTCCAGGGTCAGGGCGGTGGCCTTCTCACCAAATGGGCAGCTAGTCGCGTCAGCGTCTGACGACAATACAGTACGGCTGTGGGATGTGCTGGCAGGGACGTGTCGCGGCACGCTGGAGGGCCATTCAAATACAATCACGGCGGTGACCTTCTCACCAGACGGGCAGTTGGTCGCATCGGCATCTTACGACAAGACAGTACGGTTGTGGGAGGCGTCGACAGGTACGTGTCGCAGCACTCTAGAGGGCCACTCTAGTTTTATTGAGACGGTAGTCTTCTCGCCAGATGGGCAGCTAGTCGCGTCAGCATCCACCGACAAGACAGTGCGGCTGTGGGAGGCGGCGACAGGAACGTGTCGCAGCACGCTGGAGGGCCATTCCGACTGGGTCGGCGCGGTGGCCTTCTCGCCCGATGGGCAGCTAGTCGCGTCAGCATCTCGCGACAAGACGGTACGGCTGTGGGAGGCGGCGACGGGGATGTGTCACAGCACGCTGGAGAGTCATTCCGGCTGGGTCAGCGCGGTGGCCTTCTCGCCAGACGGACAGCTGGTTGCATCGGCATCCATGGACAAGACTGTGCGACTGTGGAAAGCGGGGACAACTAACGACGAGACAGTACAGCTGTGGGAAACAAGGATAGAAACGTGTCAGGACATGATAGTGCACTATTGTGATTATCCTAGGGATGTGGCATTCTCGCCCGATGGGCAACTGGTCGCGTCAGTATCTGATGACTACATAGTACGGTTGTGGAAGGCGGCGACAGGGACGTGTCGCAGCACGCTGGAGGGCCATTCAAATACAATCACGGCGGTGACCTTCTCACCAGACGGGCAGTTGGTCGCATCGGCATCTTACGACAAGACAGTACGGTTGTGGGAGGCGTCGACAGGGACGTGTCGCAGCACTCTAGAGGGCCACTCTAGTTTTATTGAGACGGTAGTCTTCTCGCCAGATGGGCAGCTAGTCGCATCAGCATCCACCGACAAGACAGTGCGACTGTGGGATGTGCCGGTAAGGACGTGTCGCAGCACGCTGGAGGGCCATTCAGATGCAGTCACGGCGGTGGCCTTCTCGCCAGACGGGCAGCTGGTCGCGTCAGCGTCTGACGACGAGACAATACGGCTGTGGGAGTTGGCGACAGGGGTATGTTGCCATACTCTAGACAACCATTTTGAGTTCCCTGTGCGTATGGATTTCTCGCCAGATGGCCAGGTGCTTTACACAAACGAAGGGGATTTCTCTTTGCCTCAAACCTCAATTGTCACATCGCTTCCTAGGCCGCAGCAGCAGTCTTTACACATTGTAGTGCAGGATCAGTGGATATTGCGCAACCGGCAATGCTTCCTGTGGCTCCCGTCAGAATATCGATCAGTGACTACCGCAGTACACGAGGACATAGTTTGTCTAGGGCTTATATCTGGACGTGTAGTTCTGCTTAAAATTTTCTAGCGTCGTGCGTTCATAGACTCGCTTTGTCACGAGCATAGCGTAGGATTTATAGCATAGTACAGACATAGTTATAATAAGAAATTAGCCTTGTTGTAATTACTCTCCCTTCATAACAGCATTCGCACTAAAGTTTATACGCTCGGGTCGCCCGCTAGAGCTAAGCCACAGCCATCACAGCCGCTAGAAGTAGATTACGCGAAGACGATTACATAAGATGTGCAGAGTCGCTTAGCGCGAGCCGAGGTATTGATTACGACTACGATCTTGCATGAACATGGGCGTTGCAGGCGCCACGAGGCTGAACATGGCTCACCGCGCTATCGCAAGATCTCTAGGACATAATCGCAATCTTTGAGAGTTTTCTAGACGCTACAAGCTTCTGTATGGCGTTGTAGTAAAGCGATGCTGTCATGCACGGAACAAAGGTCTACCGTAACTAATGCAAAAAAGGCAGCGATAACAATGTAATTTTTATTTAGACGTGTCAGAATATGTTGATAGATAGCTATAGCGCATATATATCACAGTTCTCCAGCGTTTCTCAGCGTGCGCGCTGGAAGCGAAGTTCTGAAAGTCAAAGTACCTCTCATTTGTCCCAGCACGGCGGGTGTCCCAGCACTCAGGGAGGGACCTTAGATACATTCTCAAACCAACGTTGCTACAAAATTTTACATTCAAACCATCATGACTATTGTATTAGCCTATCGTCGAATCATTCGCGTGACCGCGTCGACTCAACGGAAGCTTTGCGATAAGCTTTTTCGGAGGAGTACAATGCGAAGATACAACACGCTGTCAAGCACTGATTCTTGGGATTATCGAGGTACAATGCCCGTGGATATTAAGGGATAAAACAGGCTAACAGAGATATAGATATAGGCATCTAGAGATGTACAATGTAGAAGACAAATAAAACCATCTACCATCATATATGCTCGCTTCAATGCATCATGTCCTTCTTTCACTTTCCTGAAACATCTCAACCATTATATGCCGGCTCGCCGCTGGTGATTGCCACGTTTATGACTTTCTCGTGAGCCTAGGCCGGTCAGCTATGATCTTGCAGAGGTGCTAGAAGCATACACTAGGCTCGAATGCTAATCGAGAAGCCGGGTCGACCGAGTTGTACACATAGAACCGACCATCAATCCGAATCTTCATATACACTTCGGCTTCTGCTTTCTGGCAGAGTTGACTTGCTTTGCGGAGTAGGGTGTTGAATCGGCATTGATTATTCGGAGCTGGTAGGTATGCTTTAGGTACTTTCGCGGGGATCTGTAAACAAAATTAGCTTTGTCAAGAACTAGAGGAAGGCTCTAGTACAAGGTGCATGACCTTGCTGTTATCCGCTCTGGCCTCGCCTAGGTCTTTAGCCGTATCTGGGTGTTTTGGACAAGTACATGGTTCAGGCGGAAGACCGTTTAGCAACCTAAGGATGTCGTGCGCTTGGGACTTAAGTTGTTGGCGAAGAGATAATGTTGTAGACGGAGTTTTGTCGAGCTCTGCGAGGATATCGTGGAGTTGTGATTCGAGGAAGCCTCGGTGGGCTTGTTTGTCTGGCTCGGGAAGTTGCTGGCATAGGTCGGAAAATCGGGGGGACTTAGAGGGGTCGTATTTAAGACGAGGTTGCGGATGCAATAGCTCGGGGTAGCCGTCAGACTGTGCTTGTTGCTCTGTATGAAGCGGAGGTGGCAAGGCTAGTGGAGAAGGAGACCGCGATAGCACGGGTGAGGGCAATGGTGTTGGGGAACGGTTCATGCGCCTCCTAAGCTTGGCGAGGCGACGCTCAGACCACTCGGATTCCTTAGGCGAAGCCATGCTACGAGTGTGTGGTTGTTTTTGATTAACAAACTTAGGATATTCATGTTCGCGATACGATGCTATTTATGCATTGACTATAACTACTGGATTGTGTTGCACGATCCTGTATTCTGTAAACCGTTGCCAGTATACATACCTACCGAAGTAGTGGTACCGCCAATCCCGCTCTAAGCGCCGAAGTCACACAAGCCCTGCATTCCACGGTTACCGCGCCCCATGGATCTTTATCCCTGCAACTCATTATCGCAGTCCTGCAACCCGCTGTTCATGTCACTCGTGCTATCCTCCATGTCATCTAGGTCCTCCGGCATTTTCCGCTTTCCCGTGGCTCTGCGAGGTCCGAAAGGTGGCATGCCGTGGACATCTTCGGCATGGCTCCAAAACTCCGCTTCAGAGTCCAGGCTGCTCTGGCAGTGTGGATGTGGGCATTCAGATAAAGGTGGTAGTTGTGCCAGATGCTTTTTCATATGTTTATGCAGGTTAAAAGCGCTATCGAACTGGGCGAAGCGGACTTGCAATGGCGCATCAGTGTCGCCAAGGCACAGCAGGCAATGTGCAGCGACCACTACTACGCTACCAAGGCGTATAAGCCCGCAGAAGTTCGTAAGCTCTGGGAGGTGTTGGAGTCTAATATGCTGTTCCCATTGCTGGTTAGATCGGCACCACCCGTCGTGCTCGAAGCAATAGTGCATCTTTGTAAGTATCGTCCATTCGTTGGGGACTTGATGCATATCTGACACATGGTAGGCAAGCTCTTCGTAACTACCAAAGGTCTGATAGCAAGCGTTCCAGAGGCACTGGTGGGATTGCATGTCTTTGAGGTGCCTTGTCATATGGAGAGAGTTTGTGCCGCAAGACTTGTTACGGAAGCTGTTGTTGCAGTCGTGCCACCCACAGCGGTTGATGAAATCGAATTGTCTGATCATATGTTGACGCGCCCCTTGAATATGCTGCTTGCGAGCACAGCTAAGCAAATGTTCGTTCATACGGTCTGGTCTTGATCTAT